TGGGACTATCTCAGAGGAAAGCTAGGTGAGATTTTGACACAGCAAGAGAGAAGAAATTGACATGCTTTTCGTTTATTTGGCAAAAAAAAGGAGAACGTGTATCACTATGTCTACAAGAACTTGTGCATTTTTATCACACAAATCTTATTTACACAAAGAAATTAACTTGCATTTATGAACTGACAACTTTTGTAGCTCTTACAAAAATTCTATGTTTTAAAATAAAAAAAGAGGAACTACACTGTCTTTTATGAATAAGTCAATATAAATGAAACCTCATTGCCTATAATTAGGCTATAGAAATAGCAAAGGCCATAAACATAAAGTGAAAAGTTCAACCTCAACACAAAAAACAGTATCAACAATGCTTCTATTCCCAAAAAGTGAGGGTACCCTTTTTTCAGTTTAAATTAAAGTGCAGGATTTGGAAACATTTGACTGAAGCTCTTATCTAAACATAAAGTGCCACTGTAACGTTATATTAAAATACCATAACATGAAATCAAAAATGTCCCCACACACCGGACTTATAGACTTATAGGACGCTGACGCATCCTCCAACTCCCTCATCTCTCCCACTTGCCATTTCTCCGCGTGCCGTGACCTGCAGCGCTCCATACTCCACTTTTACTGGCTTGTTTACTAACTTGAACCGGCGCTGCACAGAGCGATCGGTAATGACATCAAATACCGCGAAAGTGAGTGACGGAGCCGTCGTTCCCGCTCTAGTGTGATGTTATTCACCGGTCGCTCTGTGCAGCGCCGGTCCAAGTCGAACAGGCTTATGTCGCGCGAAAAGAAAACACACGTCACATACGGGCACGAGGTTACATTGCGCATGCGTCGAACCGTGAGACGCACACACGCTCCGAACCGAGACAAGCGAACCGAACGGTTCTGGTGTTTTTTCATGTACCGTGCCACCCCTAATATATATATATATATATATAAATACACACACATGCTTGTATTTATTTAAGAAATATTTTCAAGTATATTCTGTATATAGATTTATATATAATTTATATATTATTTTGGATGCGATTAATCACGATTAACCGTTTGACAGCCCTACACTCTAAAAAATGCTGGGTTGTTTTAACCCAACTTTGGGTCAAATATGGACTAACCCAGCCGTTGGGTTAAATTTTTACATTACATTTTTAACCCAACATTTCGGGTTTGTCCATATTTGACCCAAAATTGGGTTAAAACAACCCAGCATTTTTTAGAGTGTAATAATATTATTTTATCATCATAATAATAATAATGATCATTGATTCACCTTATCTGCTCACTGAGATTAGTCCATCTCGACTCTCTCTGCATCTATGCGGGGGTGTTCTGATCTGTTCTCAAAAAGGTGCACCTCTTCGTCTTTTTTTCCCCCTTTGGCAGTCCTATTGGGTTCCAGCCGTCCTGCGTGAAGGCTGCATGTTATACAGCTATCCAGCCGTCTCTAGACACCCACAGAATGTTCTATTTGGCATCAGGCAGACGCATGCACTCATGGTCCACTGCCCTCCATCTGCTCGTTTATCCGAAAATAGAACCATAAAAGTTTTCTACTGAAATATGTTTTTATAATTGTTTCACAGAGAACTTGCAATGCGAAATGGAATGTTTATTTGAGATGTAGAATGTGGTATTAGCTATCAGGCTCTTCATTGAGTGTATATTCTGTATATACTGTACGTGTGTGTGAAAGACACTCTTAAGTGCTTGGGGTCACACAGCCAGATGGTCACTCCACTCAGGCATCGCTACTGAATGACTCTTCCCATGTCTGTTGCTCCTTCTAAAACTCTAAAAGATATTTCCAAGAGTAAACAAACCAGCATGAGTCTCATTTGCACTTCTCATTGCTTTTGTTCCTTGAGCTACACATAAATAACGTCAGTAAATTCAAAGAGTGTTATTATGTCAGAAACTGCTCCTATGAACTAGAAATGGCTTTGAAAGCTGACGAAAATGCTGTATTTTGTGTTTGACCTTTATATTTTTTCCTTTTCATACTCAACCCAAAGCTGAATTTGGCTGAATATGTTGCTTGTCTGTTGGCTGATCTCATTATGTGAGCATCATTAAAGGCTTTCCAGAGGTTTTGTACAGAACACATTCTGCTTGCGGAGTGACCGTTCACCTCAGTTCTTTCTATCACTAGCCATGTTTACGTCCAGCTGTTTTAATGCAAATTTTGGATATCACATAAAAAAGAAAGCGCTGGATGTGACACGTATGCGCTCCAATTAAGTTGGATCATTTTTTATGGGATAAGAAGACATACACATAAACTATGCGACACACATTTGCTGAATAAATCCCTCGATGCTCAACAAAAAAACTCGGATGTGATTAGATAACTGGATTAACCAGCGCATCAGTTTCATCTCGAATGTTGCTTTAGTTATTCTGAAATGCCTGAGCCAAAGTCATTAGATATGTCATTGAAAATGTCTCACATTATTGCGTTCACAAACACCAGCATCTGAACGCAAGATAACATAACAGTATTTTTTTGCGTTTTGTCTGCACGTTCTAAGGCACGTTTATTCTTCAGGATAAAGAAAGACACATTTTCTTCCCTGATTGCTGCAACATACATTTTTATTAGACATATTTTGTGCCAATTTCCCAGGAAGTGACAATTGCTCTCTTGAACAAATGTTTTACGCAATATATTTTGCGCATAAGATAAAATCGCAACTTTAAATACTATGTTGGCTTTAATTAACTTTTTTATGTCAACAGGTTCCACATAACTGGGTTACATTAAACAAACATAATTTGTTCATGAAACTTCAACATCATGGAATAAGTCATTTTAAGTGACCCAATTAAGTTCTGACCAGAGTGTTAAGTTGATGAGATAATTAAGTGAATAAATGAGTGATGATTGAGCATTATTGAAGAGCATTATTCAATTTCATTGAAAAGGCAAAAAAAATGGTATGTGCTACAATGACAGTGCTGCTATATCTATAAAATAAACTTCACTCAGAAACTGGGTTCTATATGAGTTCAGTGATTCAGGTCAAATTATTGTGAAATAACGATTAACACAACCAACACCATCAGATTATCTTTTCTATTTGTTCATCTGGCTGTTATAACTCATGCATCCAAACACATTCTAAAGTTAATGATGTGAGGGTCAAGAGCCCAACTAAAACACACACTGATCACCATAATGGTGACTAACAATTCTGTTTTTCTCCTTCAGTGATTCTGCTTGTTACCAACAGGTGTCTTAAATACTGATCAATCATCCCTCAATTATTCACTTAATTATCTCATTAACTTTAACACTGTTTCAGTGTTCATCGCTTAAAATGACTTAATTCCATTATGTTACATTATTATGTTTGTTTAACGTACAGTAACCCAGTGTGGGACCTGTTGACATAAAAAAGTTAATTAAAACCAACATATCATTTTTTGAATGTGGAAACATAGCTATTGACAATGTTTATGAAGAGATTCTGAATAGATGTAGCCTATTCTGCTATCATTCAGATTGCATGTAAATATAATGATTCATAGAGGGAACTGTTCAGTTAAAAAAGCAACACGAGATGAGATCTCAAAGAAATGCTACATAATACACCTACTGTACGGGTACTGTGACCCAAGCTCAGCATAACAGAATGATTTGTCTATAGGCGGCGTATGGCTTGCCAAGTTCTTACAGTAAATCTTAATCCAGAACAGATCACTCATGCCTGAAGACTTGCTACTGGGGTGAATTCTCTTGCTTTCCACTTCAATCTCTGATTGCATATGATTACAGATAAAAAATATTGCAAAAGCGAAATACTGTGTTGTTTGTTTGAGGGGAAAATAGATTCTGAATGCAAATGAGTGATATTAGAGGTGGGTGGAGAGAAAAAAGGTGACTTCAGGTTTATGAAATTTGATTTCTTCTCCCAACTCATTTTCTCTAGTTATGAAGAACTGTTGAACTGATGAGGAACCGTTTGAGATAATGAGCTTATATAGTTCTGAACTGATTTAGTGGGGTCTACATGTAAAAAAAACGTCTTCTTTACTGTCATAACCCTCATTTCCTGAAGGACCATGTAACACCCCATAACGTCTAAACTCCATAAACCTGTATGAGTGAGTTGCCGGCAAGGTTATATATGGTTATCCAAGCAAATCTCACTCGCCATTGGCCCATTTTCTTACCACTCAAAGGTGATTGGGCTCCCAAGTGAGACCCTAATGTGTCAGTCATTCGATGTAACGTGGAACATGACTGACTGATAGGGAACATTGTAAAATTTTTGTGTGCCATTACAAATGACATATTAAGTGTAAAAAATAACGACAAAATGGTGTGTAGGTTATCCATGTAGTATTGGTAAACACCTTGTGCATTTATTCGGACATACTCTCAGGTTTCTACAGTCATTTGTGACATCCAGGCTTTGAGAAGTCAATGAAACGAGTGATACATTTAAAAAGTAATAGAATAAATGTTTCTAGTTTTGCTCTGGCTTACATAACGTATTATCTAACCGAGTAAATATTTTAGAGTGAATTTGCTACACATCACATAACATCAGTCTGTTTGTTGTGGGTTTTATTGGAGACATTTGTTCATTATTAATAACAATAAATGCTTATATCAAGCAATTCTGCTTTGTACCTGGCATACAAATAGAAATGAATCCCAGCACAGCAGTCTCCCCGTCTCCGACATTATTGTTTAAAATCCTATCATGAATGAAAAGGTCATGAAATGTAATGGAAATTCCAAGACTCTCTGCATTAATATTGAATATACAGAATCTCTCCAAAGGAGTCTGAATAATTATGATAATAATAATAATAATAATAAAAATGCCATCAGTAATTAAAATCCATTCCATCTCAGCTTTCAGTTCACTAAACTTTAGTCCTTCCTCCTATTTCTTTGGTGCAAAAATAAATTGCATACCCAGACAAATAATAAACTTCTGCTCTATTGATTGTTTGTTATTGTCTTTGTCTTTCAGAGGGATGCCAAAGGCCAGTATTTGTTCGACCTCATTTGCCACCATCTAAACCTGCTGGAGAAGGACTATTTTGGCATTAGATATGTCGATCCGGATAAACAACGGGTGAGTGTCCCACCATGTGGCTCGTGTCGAACAGTCCAAGGTCAACGGTAATGCGCAGCACCAATTCATCATTTCTGCATTCAGCTTTTTTATTACGATAAAGCTTCACCTGTCAAGATACTCAAATGACTTGAGTGTATTGGTTGTGATGCCTAATGAGTGATGAATTCATGTGTGTTCTGGGTGGGCTGTGTTTGTATTGATCCTGCACTGGTCAGACTGACTCTCAGGGTTATACTGGAGTAAAGAGACAGAGCTGATGATTGATGGAATGGACCTTCTAGAAGGACAGGTTTAAAAATTGTAAATCATGTGAGGCCAGGCCCTTATGTTAGAGCCCGTCCACACGAAGACGCGTTTCACTGTATACGTATACATTTTTTATCATATTGGCGTTTCGTCTACATGGATCCGGCGTTTGGGGAGAGTGAAACCGCTATTTTTTGAAACCGGGTCCCAAAGTGGATAAATCTGAAAATGACACCCTTGTGGGTTTCGTGTGTACAGCCAATCCGTATATTTTGTGAAACGATGATGTCATCACGTGTGATGTCACATCACGTCAGCTGCGTCACACATAGATATCTATATAAAGGCTAAATATGCCGTCCACGCTGCTGGCCAATGGAGGTCGACGTCTGCACTGGCGGCCATCTTGTAACAGGCAGCTCGCTCACTCGTAATAGTGTTAATGGTACATGTACTATTTAAATGACCATAACTTGCTCAATTTTCTACCGATTTTCAAACGGTTTGTTTTGTTATAAACGTCAGAGATGTAGTTACGACACTGCATACTTATGAATAAAAAGTGTATAAATAAATAATCATCCAGATAATTATAGCCACATTAATAACGTTTGTAAGAAACCAAACCGTTTGTAAATTCGTCAAGATTTCAACGAGATAAGAGTATTTGTGTTCGTGCTGACCACTCATCTTACATCATCTAGTCTGTGACAAGATGGCCGCCGGTGATGACGATGGAAACTCCGCCGTAACACATCTAGCCTTTATATACATATCTATGGCGTCACATGCCATCTTCGTCGCTCAAAGTCTTCTTCTCTGTCTATTGTGTATCTCTGTGGCAGAATTACAGCGCCCCATACTGGTCTGGTATGTATACTACACAGTTTTCAGTCGGTTTCAGTGATTTCGTGTGTACGCAGATATTTCTTGAGACGACACCGTGTGTACAGATTTTTTTTTTTATAACGAGGAAAAAAACCCGGATAGGGAACGCACTGGCTTCGTGTGGGCGTGGCCTTAGTTTTGAGGAAATCTAACAGATGCTCGTCTGTAGACGACACTATGGAACGACGTTAGCATCTGCCAAGTGCCCTTCAAATTCCCTTCAGAACATTCCTAGTTGACAAAACATGCCACAGGTTAGCCGACAATCCAGAATACTATAACGTGGCATGGGAAATACTGTCCAAAAAGCTTTCAGATGGCTATAATCTGAAATCAAATTCCAATAGCCTGATGCTATTTCTAGACATTAGCCTACTGGCACTAAAACCCCAAAATACCTTCTTTCTTAAATCCAATGGCTCTGTTTGGCTTATCTAGGGCTGCACACAATAGCAGTGATAGAATCTCAGCGTGACGTCGAAGATGTGCTAATGTTTCGCTCCGGAGAAAAAAGAAATGAGATGAAATGATTAATATATCTACCCTTCCCCCCATCTTACACTCGTTGTGATATAAAATCTCTGTACATCTACCCACACTGACCACCTGCTCCTGTGTAATTATGTGTTAGATGAAATATAGATGTAATATGTGTGTGTACATGTGCTCTGTCAAAATGCGCGCGTGTGTGTGTGTGTGAGGAATTAATACTCTCTCTTCTGTCGTTTTAGCACTGGCTGGAGTTCACCAAGTCAATTTCTAAGCAGATGAAATGTAAGTATCACCAGTCAGATCTTATTTATAGTGTGCTAGATTCCATAAAGGAGCAATTATGAACATCATCACTATAGTGACTGTAATGAAGCATGCTAATGGGATTCATGGGTAGCCTATACTATACATTTACAAATGGTGTGTTCTTAAATAGGAGCTGTCATTTGATGATGTGGTGAACTTTGCTTGCGTTTAACTGGCCATGAAATGCGCTTAAGGCCCGTTCACATCAAGAGTGATAGCTGGAACGATAACTATATTAGCGTCCACGCCAACGCACATTCGGGTTTTGTTTGTTATAAGCCCATGCTGCAGTTATGCCGTCTGCCGAGGTGAATTCTGATTGGCTGCCACTGTTTTATTGTATGTCAGCTCGGTGAAATCTGTTTCTCTGTGTACTTATTGTTATAGTTGTGGTGTGGACTTGCATATTCTTGTAAAATTTAGATTATTGTATCTATTTTAATATATTGATAAACATTTATTCATTGAAATATTAAAGTCATCCTGCGGTTGCCTTGCAAGTTTGCTGAGGCCCCCTTGTGGGCCCCGGGCCCCTTGTTGAGAACTACTGGATAAAGGTAACGCTTTGTTCAGTGTGGATGTTAATCTTATGCTTTTTTTCTCTCCACACAGCACAACCTCCGTTCACCATGTGTCTGCGGGTGAAGTTTTACCCACCAGATCCTGCTGCTCTAAAGGAGGAGATCACCAGGTAAGAGCTATCACAATGAATGAATTCTGCTTTTTGCATTCACTTCTCAAAGTCACATAATTAAATGGCACATGATCACAGAGCTGGCTCAGCTTCTCGCATAAAATATTTCCTTGAGCATAGGCCTGAAGCACTGATTTGATTAAGTGTTGCAAACGAAATGGCAACAGATGTTTGGCAGGACCAGAAAGCCATTTGACTTTGCTGTGCCGGTGGTGATTTGGTGCTTTAAGCTTAATATTGCCAGTTTGCAATAGAGCACTGCAGTGATAATGTATTTTAGGATACTAGCATCACTCTGGTTTAGGACGCTTATTGTCCCTGACAACTTCTGTTACATTTACATTTATTCATTTAGCTGACGCTTTTATCCAAAGCAACTTACAATCCCAGATAGCAAACTGACATTGAATCAACGTGGAAATATGACATTGAAACAACGTTGATCTGACATAGATTTGCTCATCGAATTAACGTTGAACCAACGTCAGACGCGTCATTCTTTCAAAACTAACGGAAAATCAACTTGAAATCAACGCGTTGTTTCAACGTTATGAAAGCAAACCAATTTTCGATTTTCATTTAGCTTTGAAGAATGCCGCGTCTGACGTTGGTTCAACGTTAATTCGATGAGCAAAATCAACGTTGTTTCAATGTCATGAGAGACGTCGTTTCCACTTTGATTCAATGTCAGTTTGCTGTCTGGGATTGCTATATATGTCAGAGGTCACACACCTCTGGAGCAACTAGGGGTTAAGTGTCTTGCTCAGGGACACATTGGTGTCTCACAGTGGATTCGAACCTGGGTCTCTCACACCAAAGGCATGTGTCTTATCCACTGCGCCAGTTTAAGCAATTTGTTAACAACCGCCTTTGTCAAAACAAATAAACGGTTTTAAAAATTCACAAGTGGGTATTACTAATTATGCCGAGCAATGCATAAAATGTGAGCAATGCATTTCTCGAGCTTGTGTTAAGACGTTTTTCATAGACTTTTTTTAAGCATTTAAACAAAACCCATAAAAAAAAACATTGACTTAAAGCAACACTATAAGATTTTTTTACCTTAAAAAAATGTTTCCAAAATCGTTTCAGTGGTTCATTAAGTCGTAACAGGATTCGCTTTGCGGTCCTATATCTGCTATAACCACGCTATGTAAGATTGCCAGATCAGGTCGCGTTTCTGTAGTTCTAATGAGACAAGAAAACTACAAATTTGACTTGCTTTACGTCAAGCGTTTTAATAGTCATTATTTAATTTTTCTTCGTTTCTGATGTTGCAATACATCATACTTTCATGAAATCATACAACATACCTTGTCTGTGGACATCCTTCATTCCAAAGCCGGTGCTGGATAAACAGCGAGTGTGTGTGCGACAGTAGGCTGCTGTAGGCTAAATTATTTACCACAACGGTAATGGACAATTCCGCTTCTGACCTGTAGGGCGACAGCAGAGGAAAAGTTGCTTGGTGTTGCTTTAAGGACGACTTTAGCCGGAGGTGCTAAAATGCCAGTTGTGCGTTTTGGCCGACAGAAATATGTCAAACCTGCAGCAATCTGTTATTGTAAAATCCCAGAATGCACTGATTAAAGCGTTACATCTTCAAACAAGTTACTGTTCACATACTATGGAATGTCTAAAAATTCTATAGTAACCAAAACCTCCTTAAAATGAAACAAATTGAGTGCTTGTAGACACTGCCATGTAACTTCTCCAGATTGCTCATCGAAATAGAAAGGATCTTAAAGCACCGTAAACATATGCAAGTGCCTAAAGCCGTCTCATCTCGCTGTTACTCTCGAGATTCAAAGCTGTTTCTCACTCACTGCTGAGAGAAGATGTATGGTCAGTGACTCTGAACAGATTCCTTTGAATGATACATGATTAGCCTCCAGCTTTCATCCCCTCTCGATCAGTCTGCAATGAGGTCACCCAGAAATTCACACACTCGACCTGAAAAAAGATCTTATGAGACTGAGTGCTTCTTACAACCTTATGAGGACCGCTTTATTGACAGTATGCGCATATAATAGATAAACACACAGCGTGGTGTGGATTTTTATGTGTATTTCAGGTAGATTTTAGGTAGACCGCTAGTGTGGAACATAAATCATGTAAAACCATACTGAGATGTTAAAAGATGACAATATTAAATATCAATATCAATATATATATATAATATAGTCAAAATATAGTATTTTATATATATATATATATATATATATATATTATGACAATATTAAATATCAATATATATATGAAGAGTTCAGATGCAAAAGCCTCTAAATGCCATTTGAAATTTTCTTCTAAAATGACCATTTTTATCAAGCTTGTATATTTAAGTTCAGTAATTTCACTTAAATGACAATTAATAGGTCATCTTCATTGCCATTTAAGTGAAATTACTGAACTTAAATATACAATCTTGATAAAAATGATCATTTTAGAAGAAAATTTCAAATGGCACTTAGAGGCTTTTGCATCTGAACTCTTCATATATATATATATATATATATATTTAATATTGTCATCTTTTACGATCCTTTTCCTTCACATTAAAAAAATCGCCAAGCATATAAAACATTACACTTGTTACAATAGCATTTTTATCTCCCTATAATAGCATTAATTATTGTTATGTTTATATAACTGATGCATATCCATTTTCACTATTTATTAGATTATTGGAAAATATCTTGGGTAAAGTGCATATTCCGCTGAGGAAAAACAAGCATCTCAGCCCAATACTTTGCCATTTAGCTGCTCCTATATTTGGCCCGTCCTTCTCTAGAACCAAATGACACCGACACGTCGAGTGTGTTTCCGTAAATGGCAGGTTAGGAATAAAGAAGGAAGCTGATATGTAGGCCAGAAATTGACTGGTGGCTACAGAAAATGCCATTTTGCTGGTGTCACCTAGAGAGAATTCAGGGAACATAATTGCATTTTTAGCTCCTATGGCCTCTTATGTGAAAAGCTATTAGCTCTAGCTGGGCTGGCCTACTTTGAGAAGTTAAAGACAAGCATGTCGCTCTTTACTCACGGGACACGTGTTGCACTGAAGGTGAGAGGAGCCAAGTACCAGATTGGGACTGGATTGATTTATGAATAGAAAATGTGACATTGGTGCTTTAAACCTCACAGGAAGCTCGGTAACACTTTAGATTGGGAAACACATATTCACTCTTAAAGGAGAACTCCGGTCAATTATAACATTGAGCTCATTTTTTTTGTACATTTGAAGTGCAGTCCGTACAGACAAAAATCGGTGTTGCCTACACCGTGTTATATTTTGTCGTTTTTGTCTGTACTGACAGCACTCTAAATGTAGCCTACAAAAAAATTTGCTCAATGTTAAAATTGACTGGAGTTCTCCTTTAAATAGGAGTTTTCCCTCAATAAACTCAATAAACTATTAAATAAGGTAGTTGTTGTAGTGGATAAGTCTAGGTATAGAATATGGTTATACAGAATAAGGGATTAATATGCATGCTAATAAGTAACTAGTTAATAGTGAATGAATATGTGTTCGCTAATCTAAAGTGTTACTGGAAGCTCTTGTCTTAACCACAAAACTAGTCACATGGGTAAATTTTTTTTAAAATTAAGATTTATACAGTAGATCGCCTTTAAAGTTCTTCATTTATGTTTGTGAAATTGTGCTGCATTCACTCAAAAAAAATAAATACTTTATTTATATTTACGGTCAGAAATTTACTGAATATCTTCATGGATCATGATCTTTACTTCAAATCTTAATGATTTTTTTGCATAAAAGAAAAATGGATCATTTTGATCCATTCCATTAAAATCCAGTCTATGAGCTCCAAATGCATAATTATAATAAAGTAGCATCTGTGTTTGTAACATTATATCGCTGTGAGACAGATGTTAGGTCCAGAGAGACAGACGTCTGTGTGTGTTGCAGTCTCTCTTTTCCCAAACTCAATAGCTTTTGACACAGCGGTTTGCTTCAGGACATCTCTTCCCAAACCAACAATCCTGTTCTCAATGCATTCCCTGCTCTGGAAACAGAAAACTGATTTTAACCAGCTCAAAGTGTCCTTCATTATCAGCCCTCATTACAGATACATGGTGTAAGATGTAACCTTTATTAATCTTTACATAATCAAACACATGTGTTCAGGGTAATGGAATAAATGAGGTGTTTTCTCTCACCGTTTGTCTTCATGTGCTTTCTCCAGGTATCTCGTCTTCCTGCAGATCAAAAGAGATCTGTACCACGGTCGTCTCCTCTGCAAAACGTCTGACGCAGCCTTATTGGCAGCTTACATCTTACAAGGTAAAGTAGAAGGAAATGGGAACTTACAGTAATACTAAAGACAGAAGCTGTGTAATGCCATTCTAAAGTTTGGGGACTTTTTTACCCATAATTCAGCAAAGATGGATTAAATTGATCTAAAGTGACAGTAAAGATTGTTACGTTTCAAATAAGTGTTATTTTGAGTACTTTAAAAAAACATTGATCATAGTAAATTTTTTTTGAGCAGCAAATCAGCATATTAGATCATGACACTGACATTATGTTGAAAAGTCAGCTTTGCCTTCACAGGAATAATATATAATTATGTCGTTTTCACAATTTAACCGTTTCTACTCTATTTGTGATCAAATAAATCTAACTTTAAAGACCATTAGATACTTCTTTAAAAGTGTTTAAATACTCATACTAACCCCAAACTGTTCAAACGGTGGTGAATATAATGTACTTTTATGAATTCAGGTTCATTGGGATACTTTTTTTTCGAGATGGCTGGGAAAAAGTGTCAGAACCAACCTGAATTCAACGTAATTTATTTAGAATTATGACACAATTAAACATATATTTGTTTCTAATAGGGATGCACCAACACTGTGAAAAAATGCATGATTAACAAGTTAAAAACAATGTTTTTTTACATTACTTTAACTCATCAAGATGAGTTAAGCAATTTTAAGTAATTTAAGTTGAAATGACTTAAACATCCAAGTTGATTTTACTATATCAGCCAATGAATAATCGGTATCAGCTGATAAATGCAATTGTATGCAGCCAAAAGGGGGCGGAAAACTGGTCAAATATACTTTGTGTGACGAAATTGGGCTGTTAAAGTTAATACGACAATGACCCACACATTCGCAGTTAAAAAATAGCTACATTATACAGTTTTTATTTTATTTTATTATTATATCTAAAAAAGTATAGCAGTTGAATATAATAGTTCGAGCTCTTTTGTTACTTTTAACCTCTAATATTATAATAATAGTAGATTTTCTTTCCTTAAAAGAAAGTCAAACTATCAGAATCGGCAGATATCATTCAGAATATCAGAAAAAAACCACTAATTTCTATTCTAATATAAAATACTGAATCTTTCAAAAAACATTTTTTTTTTATCATGAATTTCCAACATTATTTTTGAGACCAGAATCAATTATTTTAATCTGCTATCTCTCAGTTGAATTTGGTTATTTATTCAGTATCTACAGAGATGTTTGAGGTTTAGTCACATTAGAGGCTTCGGGGTCAAGATGCACAGTAATGTTCTTTGACAGGTTGATCAGGGCCATGTTTTAGACGACTCTGTTGAATTAAAGATGCACCTTTCCATCACTGTTCCCAATGGTCGGGACTCAGAGAGGCTTATGGGTACCAGTCAGGGCTGTGTGGCTGGCAATGAGCTGTCAATCACTGAAAATCACTTTGTACTCTATATAAAACTAGAGTAAATCAAATAATAAAAAAGTCAAAACTGAAACTCTTTTCATAGTATTTTCTCCACAGGGAAATTAACTTTATATGAAAACGTATAAACCGTTGCACTCAGCATACCCGGTTTACACTGGTACCAGAAGCAAACAGCATTATTAAAAAATGCTTTACTATATGCCAATCGACAAAACCCCTGCAAAGAACACGGCTCCCAACAACATGTTCATTAAGAAAACACACTAGCATGGCCATATGTGAACTAAAAATGCACAGTTGCACGATGAAAGATTGATTTAGTGTCCGCTCCATTGCTGAGGTATGACACTATGAATGGTTGCATGATGAAAGATTGATTTTATGACTACTTTGCAGCTGAGATTGGAGACTACGACCCGGGAAAGCATCCGGAGGGCTACAGCTCCAAGTTCCAGTTCTTCCCTAAGCACTCAGAGAAACTGGAAAGAAGGATTGCCGAGATTCACAAGACAGAGTTAATGTATGTTTAACCTTTCCCCTCTTTTTTCTTTTCTATGGCTTAGGAATTATGGAAAAGTCTTTTCAGAGTTCCCGTCTCTCTCTCTTGTGTGTTTCTGAGCTTCACAGCTGAGGGGGATGGGGGTCAGTGGCTGCTAACAGATTTTCGTAGTAATGCAAAATCAATAACACTTCACTATAAGTGTCAATCAGATAACATTGGCATTGGGTGACTACAGTATTTGTTATGTAAAAAAAAACATTTTTGTCATTGGACTGATAAAAATGATTCAGTGGTAATGACAAACAAATAAAGTTTCTACCGTTAAATCTGGGAAATTCTATATAATTCTACAGTACTCAATTTAAGATTGTCAATTCATTTGATCAATGTTATAAAAAACCTACTCAACTTTATGATACTGGTGTTCCCATCATGCACTCCCATCATGCACATTTGCATTTTTCACAGTTTTTTCCAGCTGTATTTACACCGTTTTATCATTGTATTTGTTGTTAGGTTTAGTAACTTGCTGTCTGGAGTTCATTTTCTACTCAAAATGCTCAAAAATGATCCAACGAATGCTACTATTACCGTGTATTGTGTACCAAGTATTGGTCGGGTGGGTATCACATTTCTATCATGTAGATATGTTGTCTAGAGACACTATCTACTGTATTATTTACATGGATGTTCTAAGTAAAGCATATACTTTAAAAGCATGGTTTAATTCAGTGTGATATTGTTTGTGTAAAATGTACTTAAAAAGTAAACTTCAACTAAGTTGAAAATCTCCAACTTAAATCGGCCAAGTTAAGTTACTTATTTTCTTTGTTAATTAAAATCAACTTAGTGAAGTAGATTTGACTTAATTCCATATAAATATGCATTGTAATGTGTGTTTAGAAGCTGTTGACTATTCATAAATGAGCGGCAAGGCATTTTGACAGCTATATTTTGGAAGTTATGGTCCCACCATACTAGATGATCCATCAAACAGGAGCATGATTACTGCTGCCCTCTGGTGGTGTGACTGTTCTATGACGAGACACACTTCATCAGTCTTATTATGTGCGTATATTATGTTGGGAATGTAGAGTGAATATGTCTGTTTAGATCTTCAGAATGATCCAGAACGAAAGTCAGTCCGGATGTGTGTAAACAATCGCTTTCTCACGACGTTAAGGGTCGCTTTTCTTCTCTGATTTGGATTGAAATACAAGGCAGGCGGTCTTGTTGCATTAAGGTCTTAAATGTTGAATGGCTGGTGCTGAATAAAACATGAATCGGTAAGAGGTTTCCTGGAGAGATGATACTTGAACTGTCTGGTCGGTTTGGTTTTGCTTATTTAGTGGCTGCTAATCGATGTCGTTCAAGTGTAAAGTGTCACAATAGATGCGTTTGTTTATATTCACATCAACATTATGTTTTTGGACGGGTGTTTTTTGTTTTTTGCATTGTAATGATTTTCCACTTTGTACAAAACCAATAATAATGTGGATTCGATGCAATACCTGTGGCACCAGTATGCTTTAAAGTACTAAAGTATTCTTTAAGTTAATTAGTTTAAGTATACTTTAAGTGTATTAGTAGTATACTTTTAAGTGTACTATTTCAATTCTGTACAAAAGTATACTTTTAAACTTCAAGTACACAACTAGTTTAGAACTATATATTTCATTTGTACTGCAACCATACTACAAGTGAACTTAGATGCGGATAGTTTACTAGTCAAATACTTGTAGTATTTTTTTAGTTGATGAAAGTACACTTTTAAGTCTACTTTCAGTGTACAATAGAAGTTTAGTAGTTTTTATACTGCAAGTATACTTGTAAGCGAACTTAACATTATACATGTAGTTTACTATTCATATATTTTTTATACTTGAAATATACATTAACTTTAAGTTAATAACTCTAATTTAACATTTTGGCCAAATATACTTTTCTGTAAGTATAGGTCAAGTATATTTCTGAGAAGTAGATAAAAAGTTGACTGAAAGGATGCTGTCTTATTTGTAGTTTAAAAGACTAATACTAATAGCACACTTGAATACACTTCCTTGGTTGTAATCTGTGACTCTGATGTGCTGTTGCACCACTGAATGACACAGATCTGGTGTTTTAATGTGTTGTTTTGCAGAGGTCAAACTCCAGAGACTGCGGAGCTAAAGTTCCTGCAGAAAGCACAAATGCTTGAAACATACGGCGTGGATCCTCATCCGTGCAAGGTTAGAAGGCTCTATCTGACGCATCCACGAGCTATTTGTGTACTGCAGTTTCTTAAACGTTTTCAAACCAAGGACCCTTTCATAATGATTGAATGTTCATGAAACACAGAAAGATTCCATTTCAGATTCCACAAGTCTCTATAAACCTTAAGTCAGTCAGTGTGATTTGTTTATATACAGTACATATGCGTGTGTGTGTGTGTGTGTGTGTGTGTATATATGTATATATATATATATATATATACACACACACACATATATATATATATATAATTAGCAAAGACGCACTAAAATGATCAAAAGTTTATAGAAATGTATATGTCACAAAAATTTTCAATTTTAAATGAAGGCTGTTCTTTATCACAGTTTCCCCAAAAATATAAGGCTGCACACCTTTAAAAAAAAAAAAAAACACTGATAAATATAACAAGAAATGTTTTTTGAGCAACAAATCGGCATAGTGGAATGATTTCTGAAAGATCATGTGACCCTGAAGACTGGAGTAATGATGCTGAAAATTCAGCTTTGCATCACAGGAATGAATTGCTTTTTAAAATATTTATAAATAAAAATGGTTATTTAAATTGTAGTAATGTTTCACAATATTACTTTTGTTACTCTTTTTTTCTTAATCAAATAAATGCGGCCGTGGTGAGCATAAGAGACTTCTTTCAAAACCATAAAAAAATCGTTCAAATCCCAAAACGGTAATATATATTAATATATATATATATATTTAGCATAAAATATATACAAGAATACTTATAGCCAAAGACTTAATATAGTCAATGTATTATACTCAGTGGTTTTATTATTTGTGTATAAAACCAGTATAATAAATCAGAATGTTTACATAAATTGTAAAGCTGTATATAAATTGAATGTAAAAATATATCAACGAGGCCGTTAAAATAGTGTACTAAAACATGTCCTCTATAACGCTTGGTTCTTTCTTTCAGTGAGTTTTTTTTTTAAACTGAATTTATTGACTCATGTTGAGAAACATCTACTGTCAGTTTAATCTCAACAGTAAAACTTTCCATTTTACAGCCAAACATTACGTAAAGTTAGCCTGACAATACAAATATGAAGGCTCTGTTGTTTTGATCACTTGCTGTACGGTCCTGTATTGAGTCTTCCTACTCAATGTCTGCTTGTTAAGAAAGGAAGATGACGTGGTTCTCCTCTGTCGCTGTTCATCACAGGATGTGTCTGGGAACCCAGCTTTCCTAGCCTTCACTCCGTTCGGTTTTGTCGTGCTTCAAGGGAACAAGAGAGTCCATTTCCTCAAATGGTGAGTCACTAATACTTGCCTCTTTTCCCTACTGAACTTCTATTGACGTCTTCGGGGTCGAGTAAACACAGACATGCATACACGCATGCTGAAAATAATGAGTCATTCTCGCCTAGCGACAGGCTGTGGGTATACAAGTCACAGCTGGTTTTATTATATTGTATTATACGTTCCCAGCCAAAAGGGCCCAAGCATCTGCCTCTTTCTTAACCGTTAGAGCAGACAGGTGTCCAATTATCCTTCAGCAGATCTCCATAGAGGGCATGTTTAAAGCCATCTCGCCACAACAAGTCTGTGAGGTCTGGCCACACAAAGAGAACTCATGAAATACTGAAGCACTGTGCAGCCTGGCCTGAGTCTCGGTGACTCTGGGCTTTGTTTTATGTGGTTCGATCTGTAGAGAATGTACACAATTAAAGCAAGAGCAAAGAAAAAGTACAGAATTGATTTGTCTGTGTGTTTGGTTGTGAGAAATTCAACAGGAAAAGAATATTGCAGTTTATAGTTTCTTGTTCATTTTAATAATTAAAATGAGCTCATATAATACAATTTGGAAACGTTGTCAACTTAATTTCAATACTGGAAAGAAAATTCAGATTTTTATTGGATGAGTCATAGTTAATACACACTTACTTGTGTCCTCAATTATATGTTAATGTGATGTGGCAAGTTTAATCATTTCATTCATAAATAACTAATATAGCACATAATAATCTAGCACAGTATGACAGTTAGATTGCTTCAGATTTCTACTGCTTCAGATTACAGTTTATGTCATCATATAACGAGTGGTGAACAGAAACAAACTGTTTTTACTTAGTAACTGTACTTAAATGGATATTTCACCCAAACATGAAATTCTGTCATCATTTACTCACCCTCAAGTTGTTCCAAACCTGTATGATTTTTTTTCTGTTTTGAAGAATAAAGGTAACCAAACAGTTGATGGAACCCCCATTGACATCCATTTGAAGTCAATAATAATGGCTACCATCAACTTTCTGGTTATACTGACATTCTTCAAAATATCTTCTTTTGTGTTCAGCAGATGAAATAAATTCATACAGGTTTGGAGCAACATGAGGGCGAGTAAATAATGACTTTAGATTTTTTGGATGTACTTTCCCTTTAAGAACATTTTCAAATAGTTTTACTTGTTTTAAAGTATTTTAATTATATCTTCACAACATTCCAAAGTGATGTCTGAGTTGTGATCAGGCTGTTTCTTTTCAATTAATATGTTAAATCGGTCCTATACTTTTAACATTTAACACTTGGAAACATTAAAAAACCTTATACTCAAGTAAAACTAAAAAAGAAGTGCTTATACTTTTATTAGGGTGCTCAAGCACTTGTTTGTACTTCATCCGTAAATATAGATTTATAAAATATAGGTAAAATTAACCTTTATATATATCTGATTAAAACAGTGTCATATTTTTTTGTAAAAGAGAAAATCTCTTTACACTGTAAAAATGAATATGCTTTATTTAATCAATAAAATTGTGGCAACAGATTACAAATAATATTGTTAATTAAATTGAACAAATTAGAATTGAGTAATCAAATTATTCCTTAAAAGTTAACCATTTAAAATGAGTAAAGTTTACACCAAAAAATTTAACAAAAATATCTGAATAACAGACAGACGTCAAAGATTAATTAAGAACTATTTATTTTAAATTGCCAACATTGAAGACACCTGATGTTAACAAGTCATTTAAAACAAACCTAAAACAAACACCAATCACCATAATGTACGAGTTTTTTTTTTTTTTTTTTGGTACGTTTTTCTCAGTTTAACCCCCTCAGACCTGAATTATGTTTTAAGTTTTGGAAAAATATAAAAGTACATTTTCCCAGCTCATGAGGCTTTTATAAATGAAAACAAATTAATTTTTTTTATATATAATTGCTTTTCATTGTGATTTTTTTTAGTCCATTCCAATGGACATCAGGTCAAAACAGGTGTACTTCCCAAAAATGTACCAACATGAAATAAATTAATAAACATAAAATTTGTTGGTCTATACTTTAAGCTTTTTCTCAAGGTCAAAAAAATTCCAGCAGTGTACCATTTCAACTATTTTTTTGAGGTTTTTGTTTTACAGATTGCACATGTTTGTAACAAACTAAATATCTTCGAATCAATCAATCTGGTCATATTAGAGTCATTTTCTGTGTGCATCTCTCTTTTTTTGCAACAAAAACTTGAACATTATAACATTACAACTTTAATCGTAAGTTTTTCTCCTTTATATATTGCACATTTGTTTTTTCATAACAAAACAAACCTAGGAATCAATCAATGTATTCATGTTAGAGTCATTTCCTGTGTGCATCGGACGAGTCCCCAGAAACGCCCCCGTCCCACGAACCCACTATTTGTCCAATAACCCACTATTTTGAAAAGTGCTAACCTTGGCCTTCATGCACTAAGCTGCAATTGGACAGAATCCTGCCTGCAATCTATTGAATGGGGATTTGGGTAGTGTATTTTTTGGACATTTTAATTTTAATTCCACCGTCCACGAACCCACTATTTTTATAATGGCATAAATGCTATGTGGTATCTCAATATCTCAGCTCTGGAAGGGTCTAGAGCCTCCATTTTTGCACTCAGGTCTAAGTCCCATGGCCCTCTATCAGAATCCATTCTGATAGAGGGCCGTGAGACTTAGACCTGAGTGCAAAAATGGAGGCTCTAGACCCTTCCAGAGCTGAGATATCGAAAATCAAAATTTCGACTAGAAAAAAAAACGACAGTGTTACCCCTTACGTTTTTTTTTTTGGGCGAAAAATTAAGTATCCCCAATCTTCTCAAAACTCTGGATTCTGATAGAGGGCCATGAGACTTAGACCTGAGTGCAAAAATTGAGGCTCTAGACCCTTCCAGAGCTGAGAGATCGAAACTCAAAATTTCGACCCGAAAAAAAAACGACAGTGTTACCCCTTACGTTTTTTTTTTTTGGGCGAAAAATTAAGTATCCCCAATCTTCTCAAAACTCTGGATTCTGATAGAGGGCCATGAGACTTAGACCTGAGTGCAAAAATGGAGGCTCTAGACCCTTCCAGAGCTGAGATATCGAAAATCAAAATTTCGACTAGAAAAAAAAACGACAGTGTTACCCCTTACGTTTTTTTTTTTTTGGGCGAAAAATTAAGTATCCCCAATCTTCTCAAAACTCTGGATTCTGATAGAGGGCCATGAGACTTAGACCTGAGTGCAAAAATGGAGGCTCTAGACCCTTCCAGAGCTGAGATATCGAAAATCAAAATTTCGACTAAAAAAAAAACGACAGTGTTACCCCTTACGTTTTTTTTTTTTTGGCGAAAAATTAAGTATCCCCAATCTTCTCAAAACTCTGGATTCTGATAGAGGGCCATGAGACTTAGACCTGAGTGCAAAAATGGAGGCTCTAGACCCTTCCAGAGCTGAGATATCGAAAATCAAAATTTCGACTAGAAAAAAAAACGACAGTGTTACCCCTTACGTTTTTTTTTTTGGGCGAAAAATTAAGTATCCCCAATCTTCTCAAAACTCTGGATTCTGATAGAGGGCCATGAGACTTAGACCTGAGTGCAAAAATGGAGGCTCTAGACCCTTCCAGAGCTGAGATATCGAAACTCAAAATTTCGACCCGAAAAAAAAACGACAGTGTTACCCCTTACGTTTTTTTTTTTGGGGCGAAAAATTAAGTATCCCCAATCTTCTCAAAACTCTGGATTCTGATAGAGGGCCATGAGACTTAGACCTGAGTGCAAAAATGGAGGCTCTAGACCCTTCCAGAGCTGAGATATCGAAAATCAAAATTTCGACTAGAAAAAAAAACGACAGTGTTACCCCTTACGTTTTTTTTTTGGGCGAAAAATTAAGTATCCCCAATCTTCTCAAAACTCTGGATTCTGATAGAGGGCCATGAGACTTAGACCTGAGTGCAAAAATGGAGGCTCTAGACCCTTCCAGAGCTGAGATATCGAAAATCAAAATTTCGACTAGAAAAAAAAAACGACAGTGTTAACCCTTACGTTTTTTTTTTTTGGGCGAAAAATTAAGTATCCCCAATCTTCTCAAAACTCTGGATTCTGATAGAGGGCCATGAGACTTATGTTTTTTTTTTTTTTGGGTGAAAAATTAAGTATCCCCAATCTTCTCAAAACTCTGGATTCTGATAGAGGGCCATGAGACTTAGACCTGAGTGCAAAAATGGAGGCTCTAGACCCTTCCAGAGCTGAGATATCGAAAATCAAAATTTCGACTAGAAAAAAAAACGACAGTGTTACCCCTTACGTTTTTTTTTTGGGCGAAAAATTAAGTATCCCCAATCTTCTCAAAACTCTGGATTCTGATAGAGGGCCATGAGACTTAGACCTGAGTGCAAAAATGGAGGCTCTAGACCCTTCCAGAGCTGAGATATCGAAAATCAAAATTTCGACTAAAAAAAAAACGACAGTGTTACCCCTTACGTTTTTTTTTTTGGGCGAAAAATTAAGTATCCCCAATCTTCTCAAAACTCTGGATTCTGATAGAGGGCCATGAGACTTAGACCTGAGTGCAAAAATGGAGGCTCTAGACCCTTCCAGAGCTGAGATATCGAAAATCAAAATTTCGACTAGAAAAAAAAAACGACAGTGTTACCCCTTACGTTTTTTTTTTTGGGCGAAAAATTAAGTATCCCCAATCTTCTCAAAACTCTGGATTCTGATAGAGGGCCATGAGACTTAGACCTGAGTGCAAAAATGGAGGCTCTAGACCCTTCCAGAGCTGAGATATCGAAAATCAAAATTTCGACTAAAAAAAAAAAACGACAGTGTTACCCCTTACGTTTTTTTTTTGGGCGAAAAATTAAGTATCCCCAATCTTCTCAAAACTCTGGATTCTGATAGAGGGCCATGAGACTTAGACCTGAGTGCAAAAATGGAGGCTCTAGACCCTTCCAGAGCTGAGATATCGAAAATCAAAATTTCGACTAGAAAAAAAAAACGACAGTGTTACCCCTTACG